CCAGAAAACCGGAAGTGGCGCTGTAGCTCAAGTGGTAGAGCGCTCGCCTTGAGCTGAAGAGCTGAGGGACAGCGCCCAGGCCCAGAGTTCAAGCCCCACGGCCGACCAAAAAAAAAAAAAAAAAGGTTGTTCATTTAATAGCATGATTATAGACCTAGAGCCTCCCTCAAACTTTATTTAAAATGTAAAACTCAAAGAAGAAAAGTTAATACAAGAAGTGAATGTACAAAAGGTGGACACTCCCTTTACCAGTGAGCATCTGTGAATGAGACGCCATGCTCTGCTACAGTGCGTGGCGCTGGGGGAGGGCGAAGCGAGGCACTGTGACAAGCAGTTGTGGAGCTCCTAGAGCTCTGTGCAGCCCATGCACGGGGCCAGCAGCCGCCCTGCCTGTGGTACGCAGGACTGGCATGCTCAGGGTTAGCTACGATGCAGAAAACACCCACAGCAGCCCCGGGGTGGCAAGGGTGACCGCGGGACCGTGTCTTCTGGGACCACACTATGGATGTGGCCTGCAGAGCCCCAGATGACCCCCTAAAGGCCAGGACTTGGCCGGAGCACCGCGGCAGGCACCACAGGAGAGGGAGCCGCAGCACAGAGCGGTCCCGGCGCGTTGCGGGGGTGCTGGCAACCACACCAAGGAAGGCTCTTCAGAGGCTGGTGCTCACTGTGGGCCTGCTGGTGTTGGCACCCAGCATTCCTGGGGCCTCTGGGGTCCAGTGCCAGAGTTGTGGCAGGTAGCCCACTCCCAAACAAGCCCAGTATCACGAGAAGTTTGGGTGATGAAGATGGAGTTAAACCCTTGGAGTAATGGTTGATTGGGCCTTAAATACTCTGAATCTTAGGGGTTAGAGCAAGTGGGAGCCCTGAGTGGGTTTCTTGGCTGTAGGCTCAGGAAGGTTGAACTGGGAAGCCCTCAGGAGGGAGGACGGGCCGTATAGCACAGCCGGAGGCCTCCCCAGTGTCCAGGGCCAGGAGACCCCACAGGCCCATGTGGGTGGGGTTGGCTCTGCAGAGGACGCATCAGTTCCAAGCTCTCCCCTTTCGTGACCTTATCAGTTCACTGGGCTGAGTAAACCATGAGCTAACTGTGTGAGAACGCGCCTTCCGCTGGCTCGCTCCCCGCCAGCCCAGCGCCGGGGTCAGGGGCCAGGCAGCCTGCTCCAGGCCAGGCACGGCTGCCTCCTGCCACACTACCGTCCGTCTCTGGCACTCCTCCCCTAAGGCCCTGGGCCCCCCCTCAGGTCAGTCTTTGTGATGACTTGACGGGGTCCCTGGAGCCTGTGCCTGGTCAGGAGGTTCTTGGTGCCTGCAGCCTGGCCATGGCAGCCACCTTCCCCATGCTGCCCTGTGTGCCCCCGCAGGCTCCTGCCCCTGGCTTTTCTACACACGGCCACCTCTACGTGGACTAAGCAGGTTGTTCTGAGGTGTAAGTCTGCTGCATAATCCACAGAAGTGATGCCGACTACCACACTGAGCACACGCCCTGCGCAGCACGGGCAGCCCTGCACAGCACGGGCAGCCGCCCCACCTCCCAACACGCGGGCTTTACCTAGGCAGTGCCCCAGAGCCCCTGCAGCCCGCTCTGGTCTGAGTGAGCTCCAGCCCCCTCGGGCTACTGCAGCCCCTCCACCCGAGCGGGCCACAGAAGCAGAACTCTGTTTCTCACAGTGCTGGAGGTGGCTGGAAGTCCTGGCCAAGGCAACAGCGGTGCTGACACCTTGAAGCCGTGCCCTCCCAACTTGCACACGTGTGTGTGCAAGTACTCAACCCTCATGTCCTTTCCACATGCAAATAAATTCCACCCAAAGCCATGGTTCGGTCCAGCACCAACTCCAAAGCTCAGCGTCTCATCTGCACCAGCTGTGGGACTCAGAGCTGGATTCATCTCAAGGCAAATAATTTCCTTTCTACCTGTTTGTAAGGATCAGATATGCCCTTTTTCCAAGAGAAGACATAAGCAAGAGAGAAGGTAAATCTAGAATCTAGAACAACCCCCCCCCCCGCCAAAAACAACAACAACAACAAAACTCTTCAAGTTGGAGCGCTTTCTCCTGCCCACACGCCTGGGGTACCCGGGGCATGGAGTGCAGGGTGCCAGGCCAGGCTCCACAGCGCCCCTCAGTGGACACTGGCCTGCAGCTCTCCAGCTAGGGCTGCACACTGATGACTCTGTGGCAGTAACCAAAGGCTTCACAAGGCCCGTTCCCGTGGGAGGCCTCCGCCCCCCGCCCAGCCCAGGGGCAGCGTTCTTCCAAATCTGGGCAGAAGCCACCATGACCACCAGCGTATGTCTTTGTAGGGTGTGGGGTTGGCACGTGTGGAAGCCCACCCACGTTGCAGCAGCTGAAGAACCTAGTGTCAGAACCTGGGGCCAATCCCCGGGCTCCAGGCCATCCCTGTGGGCACCTTCCCTGAAGGTCCTCATAGAGTGCTGGAGGAAACAAGCGACCATTCTACGCTCTCCCATTTGAGCACAGGGAAAGGTCACCAGTGAAGAGCCCTCAACAGATGCCAGACTCTGGACAGCCTCCCAGTGAGAGGCAAGTTTCTGTAGTTCTAGCATATTCTGTTAAAGCAGCCCATTTTGCAGGAGACACCAGCTCCCCCAAGCGCTGACTCCCCCCTTCCCCAGGCCTGCAGGTCTGCTGCGTCTTGGTGAACATCGATGTAAGTGGAATCATACAGCAGGTGGTCCCCAGGGCCTGACTTCTGAGCATGGGAGGTTTATTTGCCTTGTGGACTGAGCCAGAGCGCTGTTCCTTTTTATGCTTGAGTACTGTTCCATGGCATGGCTAGACCACAGTGGTCCATCTGACCAGCCTCTGACGGACGTCAAGGATATTCCTGCAGACATTCGTGATGAGCTCTGTGCAGATCTTCCATTCTTGGGTGTAGACCTGGGAGTGGATTTGCTGGGAAATGCAGTGGTTCTTAGGGTTTGAAGGGTAAGGGCCATTCAGCTCCCAGCAGCAGTTCAGAAGGCTCTGAGTTCTAGCGGTTTTTGTCCCAGCTTCTCCCATGGCATGAGGCAGTCCCTCACAGCTTCTGGGCGCTCTACCCTGGCACCTGCAGTAGGGAATCTTGTCTGCAAGCTTGACGATCTGCTCTTTGGAATACTTGGAGATTTTCCACTCAAGTCTTTGGCCTATTTGTAACTTTGTAAATTCAGTTGTTAGTTTTCGTTGGTGTTCTCAGCAGTGTTCATCGCTCACGTTCCTGGCCAGAGGTAGAGCCACCACCTTGCACTCCAGAGTCCTGAGCAGCTGATGCTATGGACTGAAGTGCACCGGTAGACAGCCTGTCCCTGCGTAGCTACCCGTTGAACACCCTCCGACCCCTCACTGCTGGGATCCTTTCTGCTTCTTTGCGTGCTGGACACTCAGGATGGGAGTAGGTGGGATGGTTGTAGCCAGTGTTAGGTTGACAGTGGATGTTACTCACAGGTAGAGATGGAGTCCCCCATTGGCCCTTTACTTCGGAATCTCCATCGCCTTTCTGACTTCATTTCCCAGGCTACTCTGAGGACCCATTTACCTAGTTCTGGGGGTGTCTGGGCTTTGTTGTTGCTTCAGCTGTCTTGTGCCAGACCGCTGGGTTCTCTCGGGGTGAGGTGATACCTGTGACCCGCATTTCCATCTACAGCAGTTGGCCCTGCCACCGGCCCTGTGTCCCCAGTGCAGCAGGCCCCGGCGGGGGGGGGGGGCTGGGCCTGCTCATGACTTAGTACCTGCCTTCTCTCCATGCCTGGCCTAGTTGGAAGCATTGCCCTCCTGCCCGTTCCGGCCCACCCCAAGTCTTGTGAAGATTGTGGTCCTGTGCTGAACCCTTCTGGGACTCTGGCCAGGAAAGGGGCTTGGTCGGTCTCTGACATGGGAGACCTGCCTGGCCTTGTCGCTCCTGTTCCCCAGTTCCATCCCAGCGAGGTCCAGTGTGGACCGGGGGTCCATGGGTAGTGGACCACATGTGGGAGGACACAGGTCCCAGGGAAGAGGCCTTGCTCCCAACTCCTAGACAGAGGGTCCAGCAGAGACACCTTGATCTGCTTGGCCCTGTGTGGTGTCCTCAGCTGGGCCTCTCTGAGCAGTGACGCCTGCATTCCTGGCTCATTGGACTGGCCACTGGGCCCACCAAAGACATGGTGTCCAGCACAGGGGGCGCACAGTGGGGTGAGGACTCTAGTTCCACTCTCCTCCCACAGCCTGGCCCAGTTCCC